TAACAAGGAAATTCCATTGCTGAGTTCACCAGAAACCCTTAACCAGGTACATTGTTTTAAGAAAGTGGTGAAATTCTGATTCTTATCCATATTCTGAAAACACAGACTTCCTGGAAGACAAATTTCACTGAGATAGAAACCTTCCCCCCTGAAAACACAGCTTTTTAATGTTTCATGAATTGTTTTGTTTTTGTCTGTGCACAATTTATGCCTTTATATCTGCTTTGAGTAGGGTTTTTCTGAACTTTAGCGTGGAGGTTTTATGAACCCTGAACCCTGCTGAGCCAGGGATGTTCAGATCCGGGTTTTTACAACAGAAATATTCAAAATTCACCCAAGGCTGTGAACATCAAGCAGAGAAGTTCAAAGGACAAGCACCTGAAGCCCAAAACCTCCAACACACTGCCTTGAAAACACACAACTGAAGTACAGATGACACACAAAGCAATTAGAATCCATTAGAAAAATACTGTAAAACAAATTATTTGTCCCATGCTACAAATCATTCAAGCTGCAGGAGTCATGCCCTGGGAATAATTTTGAAAAGAAGGAAAATTCTAAAACCATAGTGCATTAGCTTTGGATGGAATCATTTAGCCTGGGAGTTATAAAGCTGCATGTAAGCAGAAGGCTGGAACATCTCTTTATGCTTAGATCTGTCAGATCTTTAGAAAAWTTTTAAGTAAAAAAGACATGGAAAGAATGGGCGTTTTCATGTAAATGGAAAGAAAATGCCACTTTGATTTCCACAGAGAGGAAGGCAGGAGGCAGCCAAGGGCAATATAAACACAATAGTACATTAAAACATAAAACCRGGGGAAATCAATGAAAATAAGGTGGAGGTACAGTGCTTCTCAGCATTTCTGACATGCTAGACAAATAAATTGGTGCATTTGCTTTTGAATGCAATTCTCCTACATATGGGAATGTTGAATCCACAGAAAARGAGGTGAAGGGGCCACAGAATACGCAAAAAAAATATTTACAGTGACTATTCTAATCCAGATCTTCAAAGAAAAAAAGGAGGAGGAGATTTGCCATATGCTTTAATGGCAGCAGCTCCTRGCAATTAGCAAAACACAACTCCAAAATGCCCTGTGGGGGAAATTGTRAGGTGTCCACTATATGGTACCATCTGTTTGACTAAAAACGTTAAAATGAAAGAAAAAGTGGTCAAAAATCACCTGTGGAACTGCTCATGTGTTACTGCAATTCAC